TCGGTTGGCACTATCAGGATTGGGAAGCATTGGGGCTCAGCGCCGGCTCTGCCTCCATTTATCTGCAGCTGCTCGCACCGGGGCTTAGCCGAGCTTCGTCTGAATACCGGCGTGTTTTACCCCTCCGTGTGTCTGGCCTCGCGATGGGTACGGGCTCGTGTCTGGGTCCCGCGGTGGCCAGTGGCACGGGGTGCTGCGCTCGCTCCATCACTCTTCTCTGTTGAGGCAAGACTGGTGTTGCTGCCTTTTGGAGGTGTTACCTCCCAGCTTGGGAGCTGGAGGAGGTTTCTGGTGAAGCATCTCTTCTTGCAAGGTCCTGGGGCTGCGGTGACGACGTCTGGGGCCACCTGGCCGCTGGGTGCAGGCATGGCCCATCCCACCCTCTCCTGCCTGGGAAATGCAGGCACCGTGGTTGTGGTGTGGGGTAGTGGTTCAGCCCCTGCCTGGGTGCTGCTGAGTTTGGTGCCACAGGTGGCTTTCCCTTGGGCAGGGAACCTTCCCGGCTCTGGGGACCCGTCTGTGGCAGGTAGGGTCCTGGTGCCTTGGTACAGATCCCTCTTAGCAAAGGCTGGGCAAAGCCTGAGGTGCAGCGTGGACACAGGGCTAGGCACAGGCTCTGGAAAGTCCCTGCCTACTTCTCGCAGCAGGAGTTTGTTCCAGGCTTGGACAGGCACGGGGGAGGAGAGCCAGCTCCTGCGGGCAGAGCACATGTAGCCACTGGTTCCCTTTTTGCCACCAAGGAGCGTGAAGAAACTGCTGAAACAGCTCTTGCGTTAGTGTCCCCTCCTCCAGCCAGTTCTTGCCCCATTCGCCAGGCCCCACAGTGTTCCTCCCAGGCGTCACACCACCGCTCGTGTCCCCGCTCCCAGGCTGCCCCGGTATTTTGGTCAGGCTGGGGCAGCGGTGAGGTGCCAGTGCTGATCCCCATGGGATGCAGTGCAGGTGCTGTGGGAAGGCATGTGTCTCAGCTGCGCTGCCCTACAGAGCTGCCGGGTTCCCTCTGGGGCAGGGAGGGGTCTGGGTTCCCTCTGGGGCAGGGAGGGGTCCGGGACCCTTCTGGGGTTCCAGAGCCAGGTCCCCTTGTGGGACCTGATTCTGCTGCTACCCTCCAAGGTCACTTCTCACTGGTGGCAATCCCCGTGGTCCAGCTCTCTGCCTGCCTGTGGGACGACGGGGGACCGGGGGGCTGTGGCCGGCAGGACGGGTGCTCTCCCCTTGGTGGCTGCTCTGCCTAGCGAGGGCACGGGGTCCCAGCAGGGGCCAGGGGACCCCTCCCCATGGGTCTTGCTGGACTCGTCGAGCTCCACCAGCGTTGGGGAAGGGGGCTGGTG